AGTTCTACAAATAAGTTGTCATGACCAAAATTGTCAGTCGACCCCTTTAGGAGTTATTGCCTTTTATAATCAATTTTTAACAATTTTTCGTAAATTTTTGTAATCTTTTACAAAAATCTTCTTCTCTGAAACTACTGAGACAAATTTAATCATACTTGGCCATAATCATCATTAGGGTGTCTAGTTTAAAAAAATTGTCTGATGACCCCGCCTTCCAACTATCATGGCCGACTTGGTTAAAAATAGAACATATGGGTAAAATGCAGTTTTTGGTTTATATCTCTGAAACTAAAGCATTTAGAGCAAATCTGACAGGTGGCAAAAATGTTCATCAGATTTAGATTTACCTGCCCTGTAATTTTCAGACGAATCCGACAACCCGTTGTTGGGTTGCTGCCCCTGAGTTAGTAATTTTACAAAAATTTTGCAGTTTTTTGTTATTATCTTAGATATCATTATAATATCTAATATCTATTACTATTAATTATGATTTTAACCTTATTTAACATGATTTCCAAAGCATCAGTAAATACAGGTGAGCGACACAGGCTCTTGAGAGCCTCTAGTTTAAATGAACTTGTCCGCACCTTTTCTCCAAAACGGCTAGTCAGATTTACTTAAGGTTTCACAATATGTTAGACTAACATGTCCAGTGGTGCAATCAGGGTTTCGTTTGTGCATTGGGGTCTAAAAAGGGGTACTTTGAGGTGCCAAAAGAAGGGAGGAGTTTACAATAGAACCCTATGGGATTCTAATTTTTTTTTATCTTCAAATGATTATAACTTGAAAACTGTAAGTGATAGATACACTCTTTATAATTGAAAATGTTCTACATGATAAAGCACATGAAATAAAGGGTTAGTCCCCAGGGGTCACCCCCACCCCCTGCCATTAGACAAAGTTCTAATATCTTGTAAGTGGTCAAGATCTCCATCCCTAAACCATATATATTCTGGTTAGTCATGATACAGCACATTAAATGAAGTAAAGTATTAGTCCCCAGGGGTCACCCCCACCCCTTGCCATTTGAGAAAGTTCTAATATCTTGTAAGTTGTCGAGATCCCCACCCCTTGTTGTGGAATCTCAATAAATACGTTATGATTGCAAAATACATTTAATCGTCGTGATAGCTATGAAATCTATACAATAACGTCGTTCACTACAGTGTTATGGTTACAATGTTACCATAGTTCAATGTTAGTACTTCACGTATTTTCCGACATTCTGGGGGCCGACAAAAGTGAAATATGTAACGAAAATTTAAAAGTTTAAGTTCACAATATAGATAAAAGAAATTTGAAATTAATGTTCATCTCAAATAAAAATAATTTAGTCACTTAACCTTAACTGATCACAATTAAAGTTTATCTCTTAGTCCATTCATGGATGTTTCTTCTGGCACACACGGCAGCTTCACGAAGCGGTATTCTTCTTTGCGAGTAATTAGTTCTGTCCTGTATCTATGTGGCTTCTAGACTCCACATGTTGAGGGTGTGTTAGTTCGGGCGGTCTTGGTAGCAAGTTACTTCCTTGGAAATTTTCCTCAAATGGGTTTATGTGCGATCTACTTTGTACGAGCCATTGCGAGGTGTTTTCTGTTCTTCTTTGAGCAACGGTCATACTTGAAGGTAGATCTGGATGGTCATGTTTCCATGGCAACTTTGCCGTGGACTTTCCTTTCTCGTTGTCAATATCTGTGTTCTTGCATGAAATGACGTTTAAAAAAATCGTAGATGATGAAGTCTGGCTGATGTTTCTATTGATTGGTCCTGATAACAAATATCTGATCTTTGACTGAACGGCGGTGGGTCCTTTTCCCCTTAACTTTGTCCTCGATAATTTCCCAGTAGTAGTCCGCGCCTATGAGTAAGACAATTTCAAAACGTTCTCCACTTTGCACAGAATGGGCAAGTTTTAGTCCTTTCAAGTGTGGCAAGCCCCTTGTAGTCTGTGAAATCTTGTTCCGAATCGGGACGGCAATCTGTGGAACAATAAGTGTGTTGATACGTACCCTTTCTCCCGTGTCGGTCTGTAGTTGTATTGTTGCAATATCTAAGTTTCGAACATTCTGTGATAAATCTCCAAACGCAGACAGATGAATGCTGACTTTTTCTGTCGGTTTTATTTCCAATTTATCCGCTAATTTTTGCGATATGAAAGAACGCTGTGCTCCCTCGTCAAACAAAATGTTAGATTCTACTCCTTGGTCGTTATACATAACTGGTGCAATAGCTGTTTTAAGGAGAATGTCGTCTCTTTGTTGTGAAGAATGCATTACACTAGTCTCGTCTGTTGACTTGTTTCAACTACATTAATCGCCGACTGTTGTATTTTCGGCTCCTGTGTCGTATCTGTAATGACCTCTTGTCCTTTACATATGCTCGTGTGATGCATTCCGTTACATTTTTTACATCATTTTGTAGACTTACATGCGGCCACTCAGTGTGACCCTAAACAGTTAGACCATACCTGTTTCTGTTTAACAATTTGATTTCTCGTGTTTGCGTCTGTTTCTTCAGTGCACTCCGTCGGATAGTGCTCACCTGGACAAAAACTACATGTACGTGTATTTACCTTCTTCCGTGTGTCTGTTGATTTGTCCTTGTATGATTGTGATTGCGTACCCATAAAAAATGCAGTGGCGTGCAATCTGTATGAATATGTGACTCCTTCTTCTGCTTCGAGTATGTCGATCTCTCTAGTTATTGATTTGCATAGATTTTCCAAGATTAAACTATCTCTCCCGTGTTCTCACGCAATAGATTTCCTAATTTCAATCGGTAATTTGTCCAAAACAACTGGGACCAAAAGCGATCCATACATCTCTGGTGTTTGACCGAGAGATTATAAGCCTCACACATAGGACTCTAGTTTGTCTCCTTAAAACCTCAAGCTAAATACATCATTTGTCGGTGCGGGTAGGTTCATGAGTGCTTTCATGTAAGCATGTATCAGTTTACTAGTTTGTCCGTAACGATCTCTGAGAAGGTTGACTGCGGTTTCGTAGTTTCCATTTGTCAAAGCGAATCCCTCTACTGTCTGCGCGGTGCTTCCCTCAAGCTGGGCTTTAAGATAATTAAACTTTTGGATTGGCGTTAAGGTATCATTATGATGAATAGATGACTCGAAAAAATCCCAAAATGTCTGCCACTTGAGTATATCTCCATTAAAATAGGGCAAGTCTAACTTAGGAAGCCTATGGTAATTACTTTTTGACGATCTCGGTTCTGACGGGACTTGATGCATTATATTCTCTGACAGGCAGGTATGCACTGCAGGGGCGTGAATTGAATACTGCTCGTTCATAGAATCTGTTGCACAAGTGTTTATATCAACTCTGACCTCGGGCGTGAAATTATATGCGTTTGATTCTAAAGACTTAATAAATTTGCGAATTTGTCTAAGCTTGCAATCTAGTTCATACATATACTCATCTGAGTCGGTGATTTCCTGTTCCAGGTTTTCCTCCGATGTTTGATCCAAGAGTCTGTTATTCAGGTCAATCAATGTTTTCTGTTTCTGCGTGATGGCATCATCGGGAGCTTTCACTTCGTCAACTTCTGTGTAAGTGTTTGATTTTAACACGTCGAATTTTACCAGTAACTTCGTAACGGCTCCTTTGTGTCCAGCACGAACGGACTTCAGCTTTGAATCCATATCCAAAGATTACGGCACCATTAAATGTTGTGGAATCTCAATAAATATGTTATGATTGCACAATACGTTTAATCGTCGTGATAGCTATGAAATCTATACAATAACGTCATTCACTACAGCGTTATAGCTACAACGTTACCATAGTTCAATGTTAGTACTTCACGTATTTTCCGACACCCCTAAACTGTATATATTCTTGTTTGTTATGATACAGTCCTTCAAATGAAATAAAGGGTTAGTCCCCAGGGGTCACCCAAACCCCCTGCCATTTGAAAAAGTTCTAATATCTTGTAAATGGTCGAGATCCCCACCCCTAAACCATATATACTCTGGTTAGTCATGATACAGCACATCAAATGAAATAAAGTATTAGTCCCCAGGGGTCACCCCCACCCCCTGCCAGTTGAGAAAGTTCTAATAACATGTAAATGGTTGAGTTCCCTTCCCCTAAACCCTGTATATTCCTGTTTGTCATGTCACAAAGATTTGAATGATATATAGGGTCAGTCCCCAGGGGTCCCCCACCCCCAGTGATCTAATATCTTGTAAATGGTCGAGATCCCCACCCCTGAACCATATATATTCCTATTCGTCATGTCAAGAAGATTTGATCAATATATAGGGTCAGTCCCTAGGGATCACCCCCACCCCCTGCCATTTGAGAAAGTTCTAATATCTTGTAAATGGTTGAGATCCCCACCCCTACACCATATATATTCCTGTTCGTCATGTCACATAGATTTGAAAGATATATAGGGTCAGTCCCCAGGGGTCCCCCCACCCCCAATAATCTAATATCTTGTAAATGGTCAAGATCCCCACCCCTAAACCATATATAGTCCTATTCGTCATGTCAAGAAGATTTGAATGATATACAGTGTCAGTCCCCAGGCATCACTAATGCATATAACTTTACTGGACCAAACCAATTTTCGCTGGACTTTTAAGACTATGCAGGTAACTCTTTAATGATCTCCTTTTAATAAATAAAAAGGAACAACCTGTGTGGATATAAGTAATGTAGTTAATGTGACGTGGCTCCCTTTCTTTACATTGTTGAGTTTAAAATGTGTTTGAGAGAATAGAAGCACACTATTCAGTGTTTCAGATATATATTCATTTACATTACCTTGTTATATGGAAACAAAATGTGAAATTTAGTCCTAGTATCAATATGGCGAGTTTATTAGATTGAAATGTGTACAATATAACACCAAAAATATATGGAAAATTGATATATTGTCAGTTACAATTGAATTGTAAAATTATTTCTAAATTTCTAAATATCCTTATGTAATATCTGTTTAGATATTTCATAATATGTCATATAATTTCATTCCAGTGTCAAATGGCCAGTATGAGTTAAAGCTTAATGCAGTAAAGGAATTTATTTTGGTTGGTGCAACACCTAAGTATGTATGCACTGTGAATCAGAATGCTAACTTTCTGATAGGAAATCCATTGAAGTGGGAGAAAAGAGGACGAGATGGTTCTAAAGTTGTCATATCAGTTCTAGCCAATGTAGAGGAAGGACTTTCATCAGAATATAATGTACAGCTAGATACTACAGATAGTGCCATGTCTTTTACATTAAGCTTCCTTCAAGGTTTGTAGAAGAAAGAATTTTTAACATTTAATGAGAAAATCCTTTGTAAGAGATCTAACACTTAATTCTTTCAAGAGAAATGACAGCATTTACTAGGCTTCAAAAAGTGGGTTCTTGTTATTTAGCAAACATGTTTTTGAAAAGTAAGAAGATATATTTGTACCAAACGAAGAATCAAAATTCAGAAAAATTGAGAGAAAGACCACAAGTCCACAAAACACAGAAAACTGATGATTGAGCAACACACTTTTTAACCTCATTTAAAAACTCTGAACCTATGTCTCCAGAAGGGTATGATTTGTTCCCTGCACCATAGATTACATGAAATTAGCTAATCATATTGACAGATACTTTAGACTATTATGCTTACTTTTCTTGTCAGATTTGTATGAAAATTATCCTAGTCAGGGGTTTGGAAATATTTGAATTTTCAGTCAGTTTGTCCCCCATGTTCCAGTGATCGGGAAGGACGTGCGCCTTGCGCCAATTGCGCTTATCGACCAGAAATGGCGCATAAAGTGACAAATGTAAGCGCCCGCGTGGCGCATGATATTTTTCACTTCGTTTTGAAACGTTGAGATATCGTCAAATGGATTTCCGATCGTATTTCGTGCCGCCATGTGTGAGTACACATCTGTGTAGTGTTTACTCCAATAATAGGAGCACCTATATATTTTTGGGACGTCTCGGGTGTTTTCCTTCATGTATGGTAATAATAGGCAACATGCGGTATGACTGATTACCCAAAAAAACGTAATTAACCATCATTCATGATATAATTTTTTATAAACAACTTTAAATTTGTGAAAATTGGCTAGTACAGGCGAGAATTCTTCTCTAATTATAATCTTTTAAGTAAGCTTGCTTTTATTTCGATTGAAAAACCCAAAAGCCTTTTTATGAATAGTATAGTATTTGTCTCTATAAAAGGGGCTTAACTGTCCTTCTCAATTTTTTTGGTCTTTGGCTCGTTTTGACATTTTGTAAACATGCCTTCAGCGAATTGTTGTTGTGTCTTATCAATTAACGTTGCTCTCTACTGTTATTCTTGTCATCGTGATGAAGTAATAATAATACAAGTGCAGAGGAAATGCCAGAAACGTCCTCTAATACGGAACGTCTGGAATAAGTATGGTATCGACGAAGACCCAAATTTAATGTAAAAAAAACATGAACAAGGGAACAGTACCAGTTTTAACATTGTAAATAAAGGTTATCGTAAATATTGCCCGGTTTGGAAGAAGTTATTGTATATTCATTGAAATTGAAATTACAAAATCACAGGAACAATATCCATGATATTAATTAGAATCATACTTGTAAGTACAGTAAAATATACACTTTAAAAAAATTTTTACTTTTTTTTTTATTGTAAACGAATGGCCCACTCATTTGACAACATGGCCCATTAATTCTAAAAATGGCCCATTGAATTTATTTTTGGGGGGCCCTGGGCCCATAGAGAAAAAATCCTTCCAGATCACTGGGCCCCGCCCCCTCAGTCATGGTCTATTGACTTTGAAACTTTTGCTTCAAGTTTACATGTATTAGTTTGTGATTAGATCAGTTTAAGATGAACTGCTAATGTTAAGTCAATGATATTTGGTATGCAAATGTATTGGCATTTGCAAGTATCTTTTCCATGGAGATTATATAGCCCAACCCCTGATCATGGTTCATTGACTTTGAAACTTTTACATAGTTTACAAGTTAATGTTTGTGTTTAGGTTTGTTTAAAGGGAACGACTTATAATAAGTCAATGGTATTTGGTATGCAGTTGTATTAGCATTGGCACATCTCATTCCATGGAGATTGTTCAGCCATGTACCTTCAGTCATGGTTCATCGACTTGGAATATTTGCATAACTTACATGTTAAAGTATTGCTATTTTAATTTCAACATTTGCATTATGAAAATTACAAAAAGGCGAGACATATCTCTGTGATAACAGTTTATTGTTTCTTTTGATCCCCCATTCCGGGAGTCTAAATAAAAATTTGTCCATTTTATTACATGGTTAGGCTAAAGCAGAAATGAACTCAAATCTAAATGATTCCTGAATTGGTTATGTTATCCGTCTGATTCTCTAATGATCATGGTCGTCGATCCTGTGTATGACAATAAGTTACACTCGTTAACTACAATGTGAGGCTGGGATTGTAACACCATATGACTGGTTCCTTTGTCGTGTTTATATCTTGTACTATAGCATTTATGCAAGAAATCATGGGAACCAGATTGAATAAAACATCTGTGATTAGAATTGAAATAAAATTTTATTTTTTTTAATATTATACATGCAGGAACTCTTAAAATTAATTAATATCATTTATACTTGTTCATGGGCAAGCAAGATAGAAAAATGTACTTGTCCGGCTAACCATTATGGTAGGAGTTGAGCAAGTCGAGCATGGTAATTCCACACATCAACTTATTTTAAAAGAGTTATGCCCTTGGAAATGTGAATATATATGTATGAAAAACTATTGTAGGTATTGCCCTAGGACAGACAAGATATTTGTTGTAAAGGAGGGGACATTGGAAGACTGTTCTTTTATCATGTTTATGTTTTGCAAGAGGTGGTGTAAACTATTTGTTTAAAGCTTTATATTTCAGAAGAAGAAGCTGTGGAATTTTCATATATTGTACACAGATGGCTTATGTTCTGAAGTTTTCGTCAATTAAAGTTAATGTTTTGAAAGATTGACAATACATGTATTTGTTTTGCTTATTATAAGATTTATAATCTGCAGATATTTCATGAAATCATCTCAAATTTGGCTTGAATTGTTTTGCATTTTATTATTTTATTATTTACCATGTTTACAGGAATCAAAGAAGAATATGATGGGCACTTTGCATGTGTTTTATATAACAAGAGTAATACAGTCTTAGCAGAGAAGATGGTAGAAGTTAATGTCATACGTAAGTTAAGAGTTAATTTGTACATGTACCAATAAAAAAAGGACAACACTTTGGAAAAGAAGGCATATATTAGTTAATTTGTACATGTACCAATAAAAAAAGGACAACATTTTGGAAAAGAAGGCATATATGATATAGATTTACATGAGACATTTTCAAATAATTGTTAATAAAAATAGATAGAAATTTGTGTGGGAAAATGGTTTCCGAATGCTATTGTGACCTTTTAATCCTTTTATAAATTTTGAAATTATAAAGAAACTAAGGTTTCAACTCCCTCAGGAAAAGTTGATCTTAGATGGATTTTTTTAGGTCCTTTTGGTTATAAAGCTCTTCGATTTTTTCAGTTTTTATACATCCTTGGCTTTCAAATATCCGGCTTTGAGCGTTCCTGATGAAGGTAAATCCAGAAAAGCGCTTTAGTCGCATGAAATTTATAAAGTGTTATTTTCATTTTTGTCGAGCCTGCTACTTTTGTCGCAAAAGCGAGACATAGCGATCCTACATTCTGTCAGCGTCGTCATCATCTGCGGAGGCGTCCACAAATATTCACTCTGTGGTTAAAGTTTTTCAAATTTTAATAACTTTCTTAAACTATCCTGGATTTCTACCAAACTTGGACAGAAGCTTGTTTATGATCATAAGATAGTATCCAGAAGTAAATTTTGTAAAAAAAAAAATCCTGTTTATCCGTATTCTACTCATAAATGGACTTAGTTTTTCTGCCAGTTAACATTACATTCGCTCTGTGGTTAAAGTTTTTCAAATTTTAATAACTTTCTTAAACTATCCTGGGTTTGTACCAAACTTAGACAGAAGCTTGTTTATGATCAAAAGCTAGTATCTAGAAGGAAATTTTGTAAAAAAAAATTTCATGTTTTTCCGTATATTACTTATAAATGGACTTAGTTTTTCTTCCAGTTAACATTACATACAGTCTGCAGTTAAAGTTTTTAAAACATTTATTAGATTCATAAACCATCCTGGATTCTAACCAAACTTGAACAGAAGCTTCTTACTCTTACACATTGTTACATTCAAAAGATAATATCTAGAGGAAAATTTTTAATAATTATTTCCCCATTTTTGTTGAGCCTGCGACTAACAGCAAAAGTAGGCAAGACACTGGGACCCAGTTGGGCGGTAAATACCACCCCCCGGTATTTACCAGTGGTATTTACCGGTATTTACCGCCCCGGTCAATACTCCTCAAGTGGTCAATACTGGCAAATACTGGACAATTGAAATTTTCATGGTTCTTTTGACAGATTTTACTATCAATGTTAGTTAAATCTTAGTTGATAGGGGAAATTATTTTAACTTTATTCATATGGCATGATTCAGTTTATAAAAAGGATTGATATTGGTATGTTTTATCAACTATTAACATGCATAATGACTTATTCAGTTCTTATGGGTAATGATATAACATAGTTTAGGTATGGATATAAAATTGCTATATCAGTTATTTCAACATGTATAAATATATATATTTTTTTCTTGAAAAGGTTTGATTTTAACAGGTAAATAGAATTACAGGTGACTAGATTATCAGGGCATTACCTATTATATGGCAAGCAGGTGTCAAAAGTTTATTCAATATTACAACTGTCCCCTAATAAATGTTGACATAACAGGAAAAAAGTCATAAAAGTTATTTTTGAAGACTGTTTAAAACAATTATTTTATTCCTGACTATTCAACTGCATGATAAATATCTTCTAAAACTAAATACAGAAAATGGAAATTTTGAAGGATCTATACTTTGGCTGCTGTTTTTCTTTTTCTTTAATTTTATTCTAATAATCACGGTCCATGATGTGTTCATGTAAAATTTCAATTTATATAAGAAAAGATAACATTAAAAAAGTCTAATTTTGACTTGAAAACTTTCATATTTTCATGACTAACAGTTATTGAATGTAGGGCTAAATATCACAAGACAGAAAGTCACAATGCAATTTTGAAAGAACTGTTTCTTTGATTGAGAAAAGACTAATTTTTAAGACATTGTTTTGTAACATTTGATGAAATTACTGTTAAGAAAACAAGCTGTCATAGTCTTTTTCTTGACTGGCTTCATGGTACCAAGAAATATCCTTTGCAGGATTAATATATCTTCATTTAACCTTGTTCATTATCAATCTCATAAACATTACAATGAATTCATTTCAAGGATTTTCCCTTACATATTAAAAAACTTGTGAACTAATTAATTGTGAGTTTTTGTCTTTTAAAATGTAGTAAATAAGTGACTTTCTGTCCTGTGAATATATTTGTCCATTTACCCTGTAGTTGACCAGGTAGGGACTGTAGTTGATAGTAATATCTTATCAAAATTTCAATTGACCAGTATTTGCCAGTATTGACCAGTATATGCCAGTATTTCCCGGTATTTACCGGTATTTACCGCCGGCCTGGTCAATGCTAGTATTGACCGCTTTTTTGCCAACCTTGCACTGGGTTCCGCTTGTTCTGCGGAACTCTTACAAATTTTTTTACAAAGTTGACAAGAGAGCACCTGTTCAGAAATTAAGATTGGCAGCATAACATGTATAGTAACATGTATAGCAGTTCCATGAAATAACATATCTTAATCAGTTATAATTCTGATTAAGAAATGAACTGACCAATTACAGTAGAAGTACATTTGGTTGGGTATTTGAATCCAGATTTGATGCAGTCAGATGGTCATAAATTGTTCTTAAAATAGCTGCATTTATGCTGTATATGGGTTATGCATGTATTCAGCTATTAAAATGAAAAGAATGTCAACATTGATTTAGTGAAACAAGGATGAATCATTTGGTTGTTGAGCTAAGAACTTGCTTTTTACAAGAAATGGAAATCAGAGGCGGCAAAGCACAAATATTATAAAAATAAAAGGAATATAGGACTTTAAAGTACTATAATATTTTGATTTCGCTTATAATTAGTTATCTAAAAAAATCTCAAATTTACAATTGGTCCACAAAAAGTTTATTGGGTGAAAAGGAGGAGGTGCAAACAACAATTCAATAATTCATCATTTATTTGGTTTCATCTCTTCATTAACTATAAAACTTAGCACTGTCTCACAGTTAATAAAATATAAGTCATGATATAATGATAATCTCCCAGGTTCATATAAGCAAGCATTGAAAAAAATTGCAATATTAGCCTCTAGATTCTTTATTTAGAGTTGTTTTGGGGTTGGTTTCTACAATGTAGCTCATTGGTGTATACATGCTCTACTTATCTTTGTATCATTCTAATATACAAACAAAGACCATGCATACCATTTTTATTGTGTTTCAGAACTGTTTTAGAAACATACACATTTACAGAAAAATACATCTTCTTCATTCCAAAATTCAACAAGAAATCAGGGCAAGTAACTTTACTTTCGGAATTAACAATTTTACTTGCCCTGGGACAAGTGGTCACAACAAATATTTCCACACCCCTGTTGATGGTTAATTAGATGACGTCTAGACAAAAAATACACACAAAATATTATTGAGTTCATGCATTGTTAATTATTTATTTTAGACTTTTTGTAATTTGGATATAGGTTTTAGAATGTTATTGATCAAATATGAGAATTTGAGTCAAATCAGTGAACATGAATTTGACAGCTAATGCCGCTTTAAAGTTCTAAAATATCCAAGGAATGCATTTTCACTATTTATATTTTTTATTTTATGCCCCACCTAGTTATGTTTTTGGTCTGTGTGTCTGTTCATCCATCCATTCATTCGTACGTCAGTCCGTCTGTCCCGCTTCAGGTTAAAGTTTTTGGTCAAGGTAGTTTTTGATGAAGTTGAAGTCCAATCAACTTGAAACTTAATACACATGTTCCCGATGATATGATCTTTCTAATTTTAATGCCAAATTAGAGTTTTGACCCCAATTTCACGGTCCACTGAATAATAATTAAAAATAAGCATTTTTGTAACTTCCAGACAATAACTTGTGTTTAAGTGTATGGATCTCTCTGAAATTATACCAAAAGTTTCCATACCTCAAAGGGATGGTTAGGATTGGCTTTTGGGGGGTTATGGCTCAAATCATTTAGGAATTAGGGGCAAAAAAGGGGAAAAAACAAGGGTTTCCTGATTAATGGACAATTTAAAAGCAGTGTAAGGGAGGTAATCCAAACACAAAATTGTACAATGTTGTACAATGTTGGATTACCTCCCTTACACTGCTTTTAAATTATCTATTTTAGACTTTAATGTAGATTTAAATTGGTAATTATGGTTGCAAAAAATTATTTTTTTGGGGGGGGGGGGGGGGGGGGGGGGGGGGGGGGGGTCAATACGCAACAGCATAGTGTATTGCACAAAAGCAAAAAATTTGATATAAATTCAAATTATATAACCAATTCTAAGTTCTTTGACTACAGTTATTCTGTGTTAGAAACCAATTATGTGTCAAATATTTAATTACAATCCAAATTCAGACCTGTATCAAGAGCGAATATTGTGTCCATTTTCGCCCCAACTGTTCAGGGTTTGACCTCTGCGGTCGTATCCAGCTGCGCTCAGCAAAACATTTTATTTATGTAATTATTATAGTCATGGTGGGGATACTTTTGGAGTGGAAAGGCATGGGTTATTGTATTTATGGACATAATATCAAATAAAAGCATCTTTCAGTTTGGAAATAATTAGTAAAATAGCGAGTTGTCTGCAGCCAACTCTTTAGTTCAAGATTGCTCTGACTTCTGAAAGCCTTTTTTGGGCAGCTAGTTTCTGTTTTAAAGTCACAATAGATATGTTTTCAAGTCGACAAGTCATACATCATTTGATTTCTGTACTAGCCATGTAGCAACAATGTGCATTGTTTTCCCTAATCATATTCTTAAAACCACTGTTGTGTGCCTGAGTGCAGGAAGACCAGGAAGGTTTCGGTCAAACCAAAATAATTGAAAAATCATTATTTGCTATGTCTTTATCAAAAATGTGGAATTTAGAAGTGAGTGCAAATACTGGTCAGCTCAGAGTTGGAATAATGTGTTCAGGTAGGGTGACATGTCTTACTGTTTGAACTAGCAATATAAAAATTCAGCTCAGTATGTTGGTCTAGTACATAGTCATATGTGGATGGTGGTATATCACATCAACATGTACTTTCCTGATACATGTGATTTGCAGGTAATATTTCCTGCTGATGTTTACACCAATCCATCCATCCCTCTTGTTGACATGTTAGGTTTATATCATTCAATGCTTTGCATATGCCTTTATTGATTTTTTGTCAGTAACCTCCAAGCATTCAAAACGACCATGTAACTCTTTTAATGACTACATTGTTTAAATGAAGGCAATTTTGGGAATAAAGCAGCTTTGTAAAAATAGAGTGATGTATATTTTTTACAGAAACGATTAAGAAAACAGAATTTGAAATAGGAGACAATAAACAGGCCGTAGCTGGTGAACCAGCCTTGCCAATCAGATTAGAGGAAGGAACTTACAAGACTATCTGTAAAACAGAAGGTTCTAACCCAGCAGCAGTTGTAAAGATTTACCTTGATACTACAGAGGAGATGGGAAATGCTCAGGTAGAGGTGCTTGACACCAGCAGGACCCAACCACCTCAAGTGTATAATGTAGAGAAAACAGTTACCATCAATCTCAAACCAGATGATAACAAAAAAATACTGAAATGTGTTGCCACAGTTAACAATGATGATTCTATGAAAACAGAAATATCATATGAGCTTGAAGTTTTTAGTAGTAAGTATCAAAATGTTAGAATATAGCTGTATTTTAACTGTAACAAACAGGCCATGATCTCATTAAACCATAAGCCTCACTGTAAATGAGTAATGGTTTCCTTGCAATACTTAAATTATGGTAATATTAAAGAATATTGGTCTATATAGATATTAGAAAAAAAAGACAACCACCTAACAAATAACTCAGAAATGAAAATCTTCAGTTAATTTTCCATTTAATGTTAGTGTTCACAAGTCATAATAACAGTAGTGTAATTAGATAGATGTAAACACATTATTTTTTTAAAGCATTTAGATATTTATAAAAAAATGTTTAACATTTTAAACCAAAATGGAATCTTAAATATAGACATATTGACATCTGTTTTATATGTTCCATACTTATAAGAAATTTATATTTTCATGAAAAATTATTCTTAAACTATTTTTATACGACCTCACAGGTAGTATTATGTTATGGTGTTGTCTGCCTCTGCGTCTGAAGACATTTTGGTTTGCAGACAATAACTTGAGTATAAGTTCATGGATCTCTATGAAATTTTAGTACAAGGTTCCATACCAGTAAAGGATGGTTGGGATTGTTTTTTGGAGCTATTGTCCTTGTGGTTTTGTAATTTAAGGGGCCAAAAAAGGTCAGTTTTACAGGTTCATGGAGAATAAATTGGTTCGCAGACAATAACTTTAGGGTTAGTGAATGGATGTGTAAGAAATTTTAGTACAAGGTTCCATACCACAATAAGAAGGTTGGGATTAATTTTGGGGGTTATTGTCATAGCTGTTTAGGAATTAGGGGCCAAAAAGGGTATTACAAAAACAATTTTTTGTCAGGTTCACAGACAATAACTTGAGTATAAGTGTATGGATCTCTATTAAATTTTAACACATGGATTTATACCACAATAGGAAGGTTAGGATTTATTTTGGGGGTTATTGTCATAGCTGTTTAGGAATTAAGGGCCAAAAACAAGCATTTTTCATGTTTCAGGACAATAATTGGTGTATAAGAGTATAGATTTCTATGAAATTTTACCACAAGGTTCCATACTTCAAAAGGAAAGTTTAGAATGATTTTTGGAGGGTCATGGCCCATATCGTTAAATAATTAGGGGTCGAAAAGGGGCCGAAAACAACTTTTTCTGGTTTGCAGGCAATAACTTGATTATAAGTGTATGGATTTCTATTCAATTTTAGCGCAAGGTTCCACAATAGGAAGGTTGGGGTTTATTTTGGGGGTTATTATAGTAGCTGTTTAGGAATTAGGGGCCAAAAAGGGCCTAACAAAAACAATTATTTGTCTGCTTCACAGACAATAACTTGAGTATAATAGATCTGTATTAAATTGAAGCACAAGGTTCCATTCCACAATAGGAAGGTTGGGATTTATTTTGGCGGTTATTGTTGTAGCTGTTTAGTAATTAAGGACCAAAAAGGGGTCATAAACAAGCATTTTACATGTTTCAGGACACTAATTTGTGTATTAGAGTCCGGATTTCTATGAAATTTTACTGCAAGGTTCCATACTTCAAAAGGAAAGTTGGGATTGATTTTATGGGTCATGGTCCAAACTGTTTAATATTAAGGGGCTGAAAAGGGACCAAAAAACTAGGATTTTCTGATTTCTGGGCAATAACTTGAGTATGAGTCTATTTATTGCTATTTGATTATGCCACAAGGTGTTGTACCATAAAATAAAGTTTGGGATTGATTGTAGTGGTTATGACCCTATTGGTTTAGTTAAAAGGGGCCAAAACCAATACTTTGTATAAATTGCTTATTTTTATGCCCCTGCCGTAGCGGTGGGGGCATTAAGTTTTACCCTTGTCCATCTGTACGTAGGTACGTACGTCCCAAAATTAGTTTCCGTTCTCTAACTTGAGTTTGCCTCGTTTTTAGCAATTTCAATGGGGTTTAATTCAAAAGTCTTGAATTCTTGGGAGTCTTTAATATGCTGAATCTAATTGGGTATTTAATATTTGGATTTTAGGGTCTGTTTTTGAAATGATTCATATTAAAGCCAACTAGAATTAATTAGTAGATTTTCATCCAGATTTTTTTATACGACCGCAAAAGATATGCGTTCGTATAATGCTATTATGTTGTCGTCAGAAGATACATTTGGTTTCCGGACAATAACTTAAGTTTAAGTGAATGGATCTCTATGAAATTTTACCGGAAGGTTCAATACCACAAAAGGAAGGTTGGGATTGATTTTGGCGGTTATGGTACCAACAGTTGAGGAATTAGGGGCCAAAAACAAGCATTTTTGTAGTATCCGGACAATAACTTGTGTGTAAGTGTATGGATCTCTCTGAAATTGTACCACAAGGTTCCATATCTCAAAGGGAAGTGTGAGATTGAGTTTGGGGTTAATTGCCCCAAACGTTAAGGAATTAGGGGCAATAAAGGAGCCAAAAACAAGCATTTTTCCATTTCCAGACAATAACTTGTGTTTAAGTATATGGATCTCTCTGAAATTGTACTACAGGGATCCATACCATAAAGGGAAGGCTGGGATTGAGTTTGGGGGTGATTTTTCTAGTTTCCAGACAATAACTTGTGTTAAAGTTTATGGAACTCTCTGAAATTGTACATTTTTCCTGAAAAGAAAATAATCTTCGAATTTTTTTTTGGGGGAGGGGGGGGGGGGGATGGGGGGGTTCAAAAAGTTTGTGGAGGGATTTTTATGCCCCCGCCGTAGTGAAGGGGGCATTAAGTTTTACCCTTGTCCGTCTGTACGTCTGTATGTCCCAAAGTTGGTTTCCGTTCTCTAACTTTAGTTTGCATCAACCAAATGTTATGAAACTTATACAAAATGCTTATTACCACAAAACACAGATCAAGTTTGAATTGTGGTAGCTTCACTTTAACCATTCTAGAGTTATGCCCCTTTACAAATGTAAAAATTGCTGAATTTTTCGTTTCCGTTCTCTAACTTTAGTTTGCCTCAACCAAATATTATGAAACTTATACACAATGCTCATTACCACAAAACACAGATTGAGTTTGAATTTTGGTGGAGTCACTTCAACTGTTCTAGAGTTATGCCCCTTTACAAATATAACAATTGCTGAATTTTTCATTTCCATTCTCTAACTTTAGTTTGCGTCAACCAAATGTTATGAAACTTATACACAGTGCTGATTGCTTCAAAAAACAGATCAAGTTTGAATTTTGGTGGCATCACTCTAACTGTTCTAGAGTTATGCCCCTTCATTAATGGAAAAATTGCAAAATTTTTAGTTTCTGTTCTGTAACTTAAGATGGCTCCAACCAAACATTATGAAACCTATATATACACAATACTTATTACCTTAAAACTCAGATCAAGTACAAATTTGGGTAGCGTCACTTTTATCGTTCTTGAGTTACGTCCCTTTATAATGTTGTATGCAAGCAGGGGCATCATCTGTGTCCATTTATTTATTTTTTAAAAATTACGATTTCGGTATTTTGTTCATTTCCGTTACCGGTAACTGCCGATAATTTCGTTTCATTCAAAACTTCCTGTTTTAAATTACGGTTTTTGTATTTCTTCGAGTAATATAACCAAAATGATTAAGTTGACATATTCTGCTGCACAATGATGACAATATTATATTCTGAGATATTGATTGATTACTACAAGGGCATGAAATATTCGGGTTACAAAAACACTAATAGCAGTATGTTACAAATTTCATTGATTAGAAAACCGTGGACTTTTTTTATTTATACAATGACATTGTGTCAGGAAATTTTGACTGTGAATGGTATCCAAAGCGCAAGAATCGTTGAACACATTGGTACAAAAACATGATTGGAATAAAGTGATAGACGTACTTAAAATTGTAGCAAATTTGTCTGCCATTACTTAAAATCACACATGTTACTGTAAAATTTGACATCACAATTTAAAAAATTTTACTTCATAATTAAAAAAGGTTATTCGGAGCAGATCTAAGGTCATTCAGAGACAAAATTCAGCTAAATACCAAAAAAGTAAATAAGTTTTTTAACACAAGCACAAACTTGTGCTATTTATGACAGTCTGTTGAGTACAAAATGTATTATAGCAAGCCCTTAAATTTACCTCAAGGTTGACAAACAGCAAACACCCTCTTTCCCCAGCCTCTAAGTTGAGTCATTTTAAAACAACTTCTTCTTTTTGGTTCATTTCATGTTTTACATTGTAATTATATTTGCACCTTGCATAAGAATCTTCAAAGCATCCACCCTAGTAATTTCAACACAGTTTGAGTTTTCATTTCACTCTGTACTCATAATATTTGTGTTGCATACCAATGCATATGCTTCATTTTATGGGCACTATGATTTATATACATGATATAAGCTTATTATTACCCTTGTATATGAACAACACGTCACAAAAGGATTAAGAAGAAATTAAAAATTCAAAAATAAAATCCTCCCACCCGCCCCATTTTTTTCAAAAATCTGGATGAAATCTACCAATTAATTTTAGTTGGCCTAAGTGGAAATTTTTCTCTAATGATTTTGCAGATTACAGTAAAAAATCCATATTCCATGTTGTAATAGTTTGAATGATACACTTCTTATTTATTTCAGTTCCACCTGAAATATCATGTAGCAACAGCACTGCTATGAAAGGTAACAAGTTTGTAGAGCTGACTTGTATGATCAAAGTAGCAGGAATAACTTGTGAAAGTGAAAACATCTTCTGGGAGAATGGTAATAATGGAGACCGATATGCTATCAATTATAAACAGAAAGGCCTCAGAGTATTTTGTTTGGTATGTTTTTACGCACACAAAAATTATAATGTAGACATGTTTACTAAAAAAAAAAAAAAATTTCAAATAGTTCCTTAGTATTAGTATATATACATATCAATATTAACCTCATCAAGAGATTTAATTCTCAAATATCTAAAACAAAAACAAAAAAATAGATTCCAGCCATTAGTTGTGACCAAAGGGAAATAATTCACAATTTTAAACAGTTTATCAGTACTTTTCACTATCAAAACTTCAACATTGAATACAGGTCCATATACATACAGTCTTACATATTAGCTTATCACTGAACTTAGATTTAAATTGTTTAACTTCTTCCCAGAGAAAATAAATATTTTTAACCTTTACCCCACATCATTTATTTTTATTTTCAAAAAAATAACCCCATTTTTAACCGGATTTTCAAAGTAAAAATTGGTTATTGATTTGGGGATGTACGGCGGACGGGCGGGCGGGCAGACGGTAACAGTGTCTCTTCAATAACATGAAAACCCTTTGAAATTTTTTCCCAAATTTAGATATGTTGTTTCCTGCGACTAAATGAAGGTCAAGTTCAATTTTCACGATTTTAGCTTTTCTCGTTTGTTATGGCCATTTTTAATATCCATAAGTGGTATTTTTTTGTGATTGAGTTATTTTCCTTTGAACAGAAATTGTTAATTATATTCATAAAGTTTGATTACACTAAGCCTTTATAGATAATTTTCACCTGTTTATATGTCCTGTTATCAGTTTACTAAACATATGGTCCGAGTACACAGTTATTTCGTAGTGCATTTCTTTTAGACAATAAATGAAAATTAAAAAAATCCCACCTGCGCTTTCTCAATAATATTTTTATACGACCGCAAAAAAATTTTTGTGGTCGTATATTGGTATGACGTTGGCGTCGTCGTCGTCCGGCGTCGTCGTCGTCGTCCGGCGTCGTCGTCCGAATACGCATTAGTTTTCGCACTCTAACTTTAGTTTAAGTGAATGGATCTCTATGAAATTTTACCATAAGGTTCAATACAACAAAAGGAAGGTGGGGATTGATTTTGGGGGTTATGGTACCAACAGTTAAGGAATTAGGGGCCAAAAAGGGGCCAAATATAAGCATTTTCTAGTTTCCAGACAATAACTGTGGAACGGTGTATGGATCTCTCTGAAATTATACTACAAGTTTCCATACCACAAAGGGATGGTTAGGATTTGCTTTGGTGGGTTATGGCTCAAACCGTTTAAGAATTAGGGGCAAAAAAGGGGGAAAAACAAGGTTGTCCTGGTTAATGGACAAATACTTTAGTACAAAATATAATTTAAAGCAGTGTAAGGGAGATAAATCAAATACATCATTGAAATTATCTCCCTTACACTGCTTTTAAATTATGTATAAAATAATGGTTAATGAACAATTAAGATAATTTAAAACAGTGTAAGGGAGGTAATCCAAATACAACGTTTTGGTTACTTCCCTTACACTGCTTTTAAATTATGTTTAAAGAAATGCATATTTATAAAGGAAGACCAGTAAAAATATCTGCAAATGTTGCATCTTTTTTTTTTACAAAAAAATCCATATGAAAGATTTGACACTATATTTTAAATTCTATTATAAAATAGATTAAGTTAGCACTATGGTAAATTTAAATGGGTAATTATGGTTTGGGGGAAAAAGGGGGGGGGGGGGGGTAAAAAGAAATTGTGGGGGGTCAATTTTTTCTCATTTCAGATTTCAGAAATTAAAAAGAATTATTCTTCAAATATTATTTTTTTTTCAAATTTCAAATATTGAAAAATTTCAAGAAGTAATCTTTAATTGCACAGTATGGCGCATTAGATTTGTAAAATCTTTGACCACATTTATTTATTTGTTATGCCGAATCTAACCGTGTATTTAGATTTTATAATTTTGGATCCAGTTTTCAAATTGGTCTACATTAAGGTCCAAAGGGTCCAAAATTAAACTTTGTTTGATTTTATCAAAAATTGAATATATGGGGTTCTTTGATATGCTGAATCTAAACATATATTTAGATTTTTGATTTTTGGCCCAGTTTTCAAGTTGGTCCAAATTGGGGTCCAAAATTAAACTTTGTTTGATTTCATCAAAAATTGAATTATTGGGGTTCTTTGATATGCCAAATCTAACCGTGTATTTAGATTTTTAATTTTGGATCCAGTTTTCAAATTGGTCTACATTAAGGTCCAAAGGGTCCAAAATTAAACTTTGTTTGATTTTATCAAAAATTGAATATATGGGGTTCTTTGATATGCTGAATCTAAACATATATTTAGATTTTTGATTTTTGGCCCAGTTTTCAAGTTGGTCCAAATTGGGGTCCAAAATTAAACTTTGTTTGATTTCATCAAAAATTGAATTATTGGGGTTCTTTGATATGCCAAATCTAACCGTGTATTTAGATTTTAATTTTGGGTCCCGTTTTTTAAATTGGTCTACATTAAGGTCCAAAGGGTCCAAAATTAAACTTAGTTTGATTTTAACAAAAATTGAATTCTTGGGGTTCTTTGATATGCTGAATCTAAACATGTGTTTAGATTTTTGATTATGGGCCCAGTTTTCAAGTTGGTCCAAGTTGGGGTCCAAAATTAAACTTTGTTTGATTTCAACAAAAATTGAATATATGGGGTTCTTTGATATGCTGAATCTAACCATGTATTTTGATTTTTGGCCCAGTTTTCAAGTTGGTCCAAATTGGGGTCCAAAATTAAACTTTGTTTGATTTCAACAAAAATTGAATATATGGGGTTCTTTGATATGCTGAATCTAACCATGTATTTTGATTTTTGGCCCAGTTTTCAAGTTGGTCCAAATTGGGGTCCAAAATTAAACTTTGTTTGATTTCAACAAAAATTGAATATATGGGGTTCTTTGATATGCTGAATCTTACCATGTATTTAGATTTTTTATTTGTGGGCCCGCTATCAAATTGGTTCATATTGAGGTCAAAAGGGTCCAAAATCAAACTTTGTTTGATTTCATCAAAAATTGAATTATTGGGGTTCTTTGATATGCCAAATCTAACCAAGTATTTAGATTTTTAATTTTGGGTCCCGTTTTTTAAATTGGTCTACATTAAGGTCCAAAATTAAACTTAGTTTGATTTTAACAAAAATTGAATTCTTGGGGTTCTTTGATATGCTGACATGTTTAGATTTTTGATTATGGGCCCAGTTTTCAAGTTGGTCCAAGTTGGGGTCCAAAATTAAACTTTGTTTGATTTCAACAAAAATTGAATATATGGGGTTCTTTGATATGCTGAATCTAAACATGTATTTAGATTTTAGATTTTTGGCCCAGTTTTCAAGTTGGTCCAAATTGGGGTCCAAAATTAAACTTTGTTTGATTTCAACAAAAATTGAATATATGGGGTTCTTTGATATGCTGAATCTAACCATGTATTTAGATTTTTTATTTGTGGGCCCGCTATCAAATTGGTTCATATTGAGGACAAAAGGGTCCAAAATTAAACTTTGTTTGATTTCATCAAAAATTGAATTATTGGGGTTCTTTGATATGCCAAATCTAACCGTGTTTTTAGATTTTTAATTTTGGGTCCCGTTTTTTAAATTGGTCTACATTAAGGTCCAAAGGGTCCAAAATTAAACTTAGATGCTGAATCTAACCATGTATTTTGATTTTGGACATTGGACCATAATAGGTAAATTAAAAAAATTGAAGTTCTTAGACCACATTCTTTCTGTGTCAGAAACCTATGCTGTGTCAAATATTTAATCACAATCCAAATTCAGAGCTGTATCAAGCTTGAATGTTGTGTCCATACTTGCCCCAACTGTTCAGGGTTCGACCTCTGCGGTCGTATCAAGCTGCGCCCAGCGAAGCATTTTATTACAGTGTGTTGTACTACTTTTGGGACAAATTATATCAAAATTATAGAAAACTTCATCGGCTCTAACTCAAAATATGGACAATTTCATGTTAAGGGGGTCTTCAAATCTTTTGACAGCTTCCGAAGTGCTAATTTTTAACATTTTTCAGCTGGACCAAATCACTACTTTACTTTAAAATTCATGACCCAATTTTTTTTACAGTGTCATTTCATCCTCCTACTTACTATTTGAGTCATAAAACATGGAGAAATAAATTTGGAAGGGGTATAAAAAAAATCGACAAGTAACACACTGTCCACACTAGGGACTATATTCGTGGACAACGAAAATCAAAGGACGATAACTGTGTACCCGGACCTAATAGGGTGGAAAAAGTTGACCAATCTTAATGAAACTTGGTATGACTAAAGCTTATTAAATTATAAGACTGCTTACAAAGTTTCATGGCAATAGGATATATATTATAGACAATATGACTAATTCTATATTCAACTTTGCGTGTTAAATTTAGACGTTAAAATTGAAAATTTTCAACTATCAACATTTGGGGCTTAAAAAATTAAAATATTGCAAAAAAATACTTTTGAAATGCCTTAATATATAATATATTATGTATTAAAAGCAATAGAGTACTCATTTGATTTATCAGACTTATCATAATTATTAAAAAGTCAAATTTATATGAGCCTGTGGCTAAAAATGGAGGTTTTCCAATGAAGGGGGGCCTTACATGAAGATGTAATATTTTCCAGCAATTTTAAATTTGTAAAGCTTTTTGGTTATAAATAATCCTTACATATGTATTTAATGTACTTTAAATGGAAAGAAAACTTGCAAATAACATATCACATTAGTTTAAAAGGGTCTTAGGCCAAGTAAGACTGAAAATAATTTAGGGTCAATTTAGGCCGTATCACATATTTACATTTAAAAATGCATATTGAAGCTATAGGAAATAAAATTTTGTGTCCTTTCTATCATTTCTATACTCAGGTGACATGATACAATAAATCTGAGCACAAAAAGACTCTTGCATTCAACTTTTTTTGCAGACAGTATGGTCTGATACAAAGATTTTTCACTTTTTAGTGAAAAACATGCATGCAATTTTAGTTTCAACAGGCTTATATTTGAACCACTTGCTATCCTACAGAAGAAAAGAAAGATATTATGTGACATAAAACAGGTACAAAAGACATTGTTAAGTGCTTTTTATACAAATTTAGTGAGGTCTTTATAATGGACTTCAACTTTTATGTTCCAAGCTCCTCACATTTAACTTGATCCAAACAGGGCGTTAGACGAGGATCATATATACATCACATTTTGCACATATTGTCTGAGATAATCTTCTTTTCTGTAGATTCAGAGTTCACAAATGAGTAATACAACTGGATTGAAGCATAGAAACACAAATATTGACACATAAAAACCTGTCAGATAGAAAGTCAGAATGCCACTTATGCATCAAAATTGAAAATGCTATGAAATGCTTATTTTGACCATAAAATGCCAAAATTGGTCATTTTTGCAGAAATTCTATCAAATAAAAGTTTAAATCCTTTAGTTTTATGCTATTTGATAAATTGACACCATCAAATCATTCAGGGAAGTTGCCAAAGTACAGATTCTATATTTCCAGATTTCACCTCTTAGGTCCGAGTACACAGTTATTTCGTAGTGCATTTCTTTTAGACAATAAATGAAAATTAAAAAAATCCCACCTGCGCTTTCTCAATAATATTTTTACAGTGTGTTGTACTACTTTTGGGACAAATTATATCAAAATTATAGAAAACTTCATCGGCTCTAACTCAAAATATGGACAATTTCATGTTAAGGGGGTCTTCAAATCTTTTGACAGCTTCCGAAGTGCTAATTTTTAACATTTTTCAGCTGGACCAAATCACTACTTTACTTTAAAATTCATGACCCAATTTTTTTTACAGTGTCATTTCATCCTCCTACTTACTATTTGAGTCATAAAACATGGAGAAATAAATTTGGAAGGGGTATAAAAAAAATCGACAAGTAACACACTGTCCACACTAGGGACTATATTCGTGGACAACGAAAATCAAAGGACGATAACTGTGTACCCGGACCATATGGTTAATGTCTTATCTTGAGTGACAGATTTATTTGAAAACTTTCTGTTTTCTAAGTGTTGATGATTAAAAGCTATATAGGAGTAAATATAGTTAGAAATTTACTGTTCATTATTAGACATTTTGAAGATAATTACAGATAAGGTTTATTGATTTTTAAAAAACATTATATTAATGATAAATTAAATTTTTGATTTTTTTTTCTTTTCTTTGGTAAATTGTAAATTGTTTGTTATTCTGTAGAAACCAATTTTCTGTATGCTATATAATTTTTTTTTTGATTAGGTGAACTCCTCTCAAAACTTAGCTTATATTGTCAATTAATAAACATATATTTAGATTTCTGATTTGGGCCCAGTTTTCAAGTTGGTCCAAATTGGGATCCAAAATTCAACTGTGATTGATTTCATCATAAATTGAATATATATAGGGTTCTTTGAAATGCTGAATCTAAACCTGTATTTATTTTCATTATTAGTTAGATAATACCATATCGATGTACAAAGGGTCCTAAATTAAACTTTTGTTTAATCAACAATTGAATTCTTGGGTTCTTTGATATGCTGATTTTAACAATGTTTGAGTGTTAAATCATATCTAATTTTAGAGAACTTAGTCATCACTGGTTGTTGTTATTATATTATTGATTATAATTTAACACTGAGGTTGTGAGATCGAACCCCACTCGTGCGGGTGCACTCGACTCCAATCTTAATTGACTAGGATTGTCAGTTTTCCTATCGAAGGTCGTGGTTTTCTCCCGGCACTCCGGCTTCCTCCACCAATAAAAACTGGCCGCCAAGAAATAGCCCAAATGTGGCGCTTAAAAGTGGCGTTAAAACACCAACAATCAATCAATTGATTATAATTTGAAAAATTACATCATATCTAATTTTATAGAACTTAGTCATCACTTCACTGGTTTATTGATTATAATCATATCTATTTATCCAGTTTGAGTTATTTCCCTTTGCACAAAATATCTGGATAAAATTAAATTGTGTTTCATTTCAACTTAAATTAAATATATATAGGGTTCTTTCAAACGCTGAATCTAAACCTGTATTTAAATATTAGATTTTGGGCCCAGTTTTTAAGTTAGTCCAAATCAGGGTCCAAAATTAAACTCTGTTTGATTCACAAAAATTGAATTTATGTGGTTCCTTGAAATGCTGAATCTTACCATGGTAGTATTGAGAGATTTTGGATTGTGAGCTCCTTTATCAAATTGGTCCACATTGTGGTCCAAAGGGTCCTAAATTAAACTTTTGTTTGATTTCATCAAAAATTGAATTTTTGGAGTTCTTTGATATGCTGATTCTGACAATGTACTTAGATTTTGGATATTGGACCATAATAGGTAAATGTCCAATTTCAAATTTGTGTCACAAACCTATGCTGTGTCAAATATTCAACCACAATCCAAATTCAGAGCAGTTTTAAGCTTAAATGTAGTGTCCATACTTGCTCAACTGTTCAGGGTTTGATCTCTGCAGGAAAATCCGGTTTGCTGTCACTCTGACAGCCTCTTGTTATGTTTTAGGTTATTTCCCTTTACTCCTTACAGTATGTACAATACACTACCTGAACATTTAATTTCCAAGGATTGATTAATTGATTGTTGCTTGTTTAATTTTTAGTATCAATTATTTCATGCATATTCAGGACAACCTAATATATTACGCTCTTACAAATCGACACAAAGCATATTGTTGGAGATGATATATTCTCTTACATAGGATAAGAAATATTGACTGCTTACAATTCGCATTTATTTTTGCAGATGCAAGTAAAGGGTTCAGTTTCAACCACTTTAAGGATTGATGCAGTTACAGATGATAACTTTAAAACAGATTATTTTGTGGTCTATGTTAACAAACATCAGACTACAACACGCAAACAAGCAGTTTTAAATCAAGGTAACATTATATGTGCAGTATCATTTAAAAGAGCTCATCTGTCAGAGATGTGTTTAGGGGTGCCATCCATTTCTCATCAACCCACTCAACCCCCTCTGCTTTTAGGTTAAATTCACTTTAGCTCATGAACCCCCAGGGTTCTCGTTAAGACGCGTATACGCATCCTGGATGCATGAAAATCGAGCTGGACGCATCCTTGTTGTATCCCCTGAGTCCCAATAACATCATTTTGCCTAGAAGATTTGTGATTGTCGACATTGTTTTGACAGGAAACTAAACCGGAAGTTGACTTTGAAAAAATTTGTAATGCGTAGATAAATATTTTTGTTGACTGAACTATTTATTTTAAATTAAACATATTTCATCTTTAAATATAATAATTCTGTTCAAACTGATTAATCAATATGTAATAGTTACTGATTTAAAAAAATTTACGAGTATTTGAAAAGCTTGAATATTTCCACATCACGTACTTATCATGCTTATCGATCGAAACAAAGAAAGTAAAATTTTTTGAGAACTTGAAATGAAATGATATAATATTTCATAACCATGATAACTGTTGCTACTATGCATAAAATAGATCGTAGAACAGTCTAGATTTAAACTTTTACGGATAAGAATAATTTTACTGGTCTTCAAATGATTTAACATTTTTCTCATATTGTGCATGTTGAACATCGAGATCGTAAACAAAGGTGAAAAATGAAATTGAAACAAATTCGTTTAAAAAAAGATTTAAGGTTACGGTGTTCACTTTAGATTTGCTTGTTTTTATTAAAGATTATAATAATTTTCATGATGCAAACATCAAAGTGATTAGGAAGTCAATGTTTAAACATAATTAAGATTGATTAATAATAATTAGGGACTTATCATTTTTTACCTGGGAGAGGGGCTCTTCATTTTGAAATCATACATATAAAATTTTCTTGATTCCCTCATAATATTTCACTATTTTTATTTTATCCCCCCCTTTAAAATATTTAGAAAAAAAATGTGATCCCCCTCTGATTAAACATGCCAAAATTTTGACATGCAAAACACTTTCCTTTGACACACATGATATGTAGAATATACTTGAAGATTCAAAAGTTCACAAATGCTTCATTGATCCCTCCACTTTGAATTTATAAAAAAATTGAACTCCCCTTTTCCACTTACAGAGAAAAACTTGATCCCCCTACATTTTGACCAGCCCCCCCTCCCAGGTAAAAAATGATAAGTCCCTTAATATGAACTGGGACAAGTCTGTGTTCATGCAATCCCAATTTCTTATAAATACTGGCTTGTCCAACAAAATGACATCAGTATCATAATGTCAGAGTCAGTCCAAGTTAAAATCCTTCTTCAAAAGGAAACCTGATGACATTGAATCATCAGTACCAAGTAAAAGACCAAGAGTCAATGACCCACTACACCAAGAATTAATAGACATAGAAAGATTTTGAGAAACAACAACTTCAGTTACTTCAGTCACTACACCAACTTAACCATAGATAACCAAAGAAAGAGAGGAAATGGCAGTCTATATATGTTGTAATGAACAATAACTATTAAGAGATCATAACTTTTATTGATATAATAAAAACTACCAATCCAACACTCATCGTTTTATTTTTATTTCATCATATTTCATCATATTAAGACACAAAAAATTACATGCATCCTGGACTCTATCAAAATCTATTGGGACTCACCATTTCTAAAAGTGATGAGTCCCAGGACTCACCATGAAAAATTCGTAGTGAGAACCTTGACCCCTTTGGCACCCCACACCTTCACCCACTTTTGTGTTAACATTTATTGGAGGAGTTACTGCAGTTAAACATTTTATTGTATACATTAGTTTTTCTTTGATTTGGTTAATATTAAACAGCAGAGAACGAGTCACTCTTCCCCTTTCACTCATCCTCACTTATTTTTTTTATCCATGTTGCCTCCTGCTTTCTGCTTTATCTTATCACTTGTTTTTTTTTCCCCCTGTCAAAGAATGTTAAACATAGTGATGTTAATCCAACGGCAACAGCATCAACTAATTGTATAAGACTTTATATTTCAAATGCCTGGAGATCTAGATACTTCATATATTAAATACAGATAACTTATGTTGGGCAGTTTCTATCTGCCATAGTCTATTGTCATTTATCTCATTTAATGGTTTAGTGACTGTTAAAAAAAAAAAGTTTTTATACGACCAGTTGTATATTGGTATCACGTTGTTGTCGTCGTCCGAATCAGGGGTTCAAATTAACATTTGGTACTGAAAGATCCAGGACCTTTGACACTCCAAACTGAAAGGTCCACAACCTTAATCAAAGGTCCTTCTTTTACATGAAATATTTCGTTACTCATTAAGATACAAAATTAATGTGCTTTTGGTGTAAGGACAGCTTGTTTCATCATATTTGAACTGCATGTAATGTTTGTTAAGTTTACAAATATATTGCCAGGCAACCATATAGCACCAAACTGTCAGTGTAACTGTGGTATAACATGTATACTAATAAATGTTAAATTGTCTTGTATATAATGAATTCTAATAATCTTTTTGTTTTGTATTGGGGAGGGTGTCACTGTGGGTGAGTGTGTTCTCTCAATCATTGACAATTATATCATAATCTGTTATTGATGTAAAAGCGTATTTGCCTTGTATCTTTTGTCCTTGTCATATTTCTACATTCTCACTGTATATCATGTATATGTTTATGATTTAGTCTAGAACTATGATGTATTTGAAATTCAATTCAATATTATAATTGAAGTACTGCTTACCAACATCATTACCATTTTTGCTCTGGATTTCAAGAATAAATGCATAGTCACTGAAGGGTTTCCCTGTTTTTGCAACACGTACTGTATGCAGTGTTGAAGAGAACCTAATATCTATTTAACTGACCAGGCTTACATTGCTGCTTGAGAATACATTGTCCAAGTTTAGTGTCTGACAATAAATCTTTAGACTTAAAATTTGGGTCACTTTCATGGATACACTGCTTTAAACAAGATAAATGCTGGGGTGTCACTTCATGTATTTTTATTGGGTCTTTTAAGATTTTGTGTTCCTAACAAGTGCACTTCTTTTCTGAATGGGCGGGGAACTTCTGGCAGTATGTACACGACATTAGACCAGTTTATTCATCAAAATATAGCCACGGTCGATCGATTTTCCAGTTGGGCTTAAATTTCCGTTCCCGTTATTCACAATCGTATTTTTAGTCTTTAGTGAGGTCTTCGTTTTGATTTCTTTTGTTTTGTTCCCAAGGAAGACGTAGAAGACCGTTCATCATTTTCAGGCTTCCTCTTGGAAGACGTGACACCAAAGCGACACAGACTCATTTTGTTCGAAAATGTCTAAATGATTTGTCACGTGACTTATCACAACTATTCATAACCTTGTGTTTCCAAGAAATACATGGTTAAAAATAACTTTTATCACTCGTCGGTAAGGTCAGGGATGAAACATTTTATTATCTCAATTTCAATAATAATATGGCTTTGAAATGACGATACTGATGGTTAAAAAAGTTGGCAAATTTGATTTTTATTTTCTTTCAAATCTAAGGTCCGTCGGACGTAGCTAGTAACCAAAACGAAAGTCTTGATTGCAACAGTGAAAGGTCATTGACCTCGGACCACCACTAATTTGAACCACTGCTGAATACAGTTGGTTTCCTGACAATAACTTTGGAATAGTTAAATAGAAATCTATGAAATTTAAACACAAGGTTTATAACCACAAAAGGAAGGTTAGGAATAAGGGGCCAAAAAGGGATCCAAATAAGCATTTTTCTAGTTTCCAGACAATAACTTGTGGAACGGTGTATGGATCTCTCTGAAATTATACCACAAGTTTCCATACCACAAAGGGATGGTTAGGGGTTATAGCTCAAACCGTTTAGGAATTAGGGGCAAAAAAGTGGGAAAAACAAGGGTGTCTTTGTTAATGGACAATAACTTTAGTACAAAAAATAATTTAACGCAGTGTAAGGGAGGTAAATCAAACTTATCATTTGAATTACCTCCCTTACACTGCTTTTAAATTATGTATAAAGTAATGGTTAATGAACAATTACTACAGACAATTTAAAAGCAGTGTAAGGGAGGTAATCCAAACACATTTTGATTACCTCCATTACACTGCTTTTAAATTATGTTTGAAGAAATGCATATTTATAAAGGAAGACCAGTAAAAATATCTGCAAATGTTGCATCTTTTTTTTTTTTTTTTAAATCCATATGAAAGATTTGACACCATATTTTAAATTCTATTATAAAATAGATTGAGGTGGCACTATGGTAAATTTAAATGGGTAATTATGGTTGCAAACTCCATTGGAAATTTGAATTGAGATTATGACCATATTTTGAAGGAAAGATTTTTTTTTTCTCATTTCAGATTTCAGAAATTAAAAAGAAAAATTCTTCAAATATATTTTTTTTTTTGCAAAAAATAGGGGGGGGGGGGGGTTGGGGTTAATACCCAGCAGCATAGTGTATTGTGCACAAAAGCAAAAAATTTAATATAAATTCAAATCATATAACCAATTCTAAGTTCTTTGACTACAGTTATTCTGTGTCAGAAACCTTTTATGTGTCAAATATTTAATTACAATCCAAATTCAGACCTGTATCAAGCATGAATATTGTGTCCATTTTTGCCCCAACTGTTCAGGGTTGGACCTCTGCAGTCGTATCCAGCTGTGCTCGGCGAAGCAATTTATTAAACACATGAAACATAAAATGTTGCCTATGCTAAGTACTGATCTGGTTACCCAAGTAGGGCCCCAGTAAGGTTTTTATTGGTAAGACCAAACTTAGAAGCATTGGAAAATAGGAACAACCATAGTGCATGTCAACTTAAGGGATTAGTAAGTTTTGCCCTGTAGAGAGCACTTGAAGATTGCCACTGTAACCCTTTTTAGGTAACATACATATATTGTAACAAATTTGAAAAAAAAGAGAGAGGAAAACAGCCCATTTAAATGTACAGCAATATGAAGATGTTTCATTGAAACAAATTTGTATTTAATTTGATTGAAATATTCTTACCTGTATTAGGTGAAATGAAAGAGACCTCCGAGAACAAACAAGCAAAGAAAGATACTACAGGTTTACAGTTGTTTTATGTTTGATAGTTATTTGACAGTTTTTCATTGCATAGTTTTATTGTTATATGGAATCTTTATGTTGATTATCTTATGCTTTTATTCTGCTGTTTCAATTTTTAGCTCACCTGGCCCAAACGGCCATGAGAGCTTTTCTCATCAATTGGCTACTGTCGTCCTTCTGTTAACTTTTACAAAACAGCCAAATTTAACTTCACTTGGCCACAATCATCATTAGGGTATCTAGTTCAAAAATTGACCCTGCCTGTCAACCAACATAGCCAACAAGGCTAAAAATAGAACATAGGGGTAAAATACAAGTTTTGTCTATTATCTTGAAAACTGCTATGAAAACAGAAAATCTGATGGAGCAAAAAAGTTCAGAATGATGGATCTACGTATTGTCTGTTGACATCAAAACTGTCAGACGACTTCTCATAGGAGTTATTGCCCTTAAATGACAAATTTTACCAATTTTTTTCAGTTTTACCTATTATTTAAAATATAATAGAGAGACACTTTAAAATAGCAAAAATGATTAGCAAGACAAGTTGCTCTTTAATGATGATTTTTACCCATTATTGTGTTTTTGTCTAATATTTTAAAAGCAATGATATAGTGAAACTTAAATTAACAAAAATGATCAGAAAGACAAGATCTACAAATAAATCAAAATTGATGAAATCGTCCAACTATAATAGACAGATAGACACTTTAAACAGCAAAAAACGTTCAGCAAGATAAGATCTACAGATAAGTCAACATTGCTGAAATCTTCAGTTGACTCCTTATTGACTCCTTATTGGAGTTCTCGCTTTTAAATGACAATTTTAACCATTTTTGTCTCGCCTTGACGGTATGCTATGTGTTTCTGGCGTTGACAGCCACAGCGTCGTCAACAATGTATTAGTTTTTGATTAGGTCTAGTTTATGGGGAAACACTTGTGGTAGGTCAATGATATTTGGTATGCAATTGTATTAGAATTGGCACATCTCATTTCCGTGGAGATTATTTGGCCCCGCCCCCTCAGTCATGGTTCATTGACTGAATATTTTGCATAACTTACATGTTAAAGTATTGCTATTTTAATTTCAACATTTGCATTTTACTATGAAAATAACAAAAAGGCGAGACATATCTCTGTGTTAACAGTTTAGTTGTGTTTTTACCTATTATCAGCAAGACAAGGTCTACATATAAGTCAAATTTTGAAGAAATCCTTAGTAGGCTCTTGATAGGGATGATTGCCCTTAAATGACGATTGTTTTACCCTTTTCTATATGTTTTGTGCAAAAACTAAAGAAGACAGAGAGAAACTGTTAACAGAAAAATTATCAGCAATACAAGATCAACAAAAAACAGATTTTTGTCATGAATTCAATCTAGTCAATAATGATGGAGTGTCCTGTTGAACATGCACATAGACCTAGGTGAGAGACACTCATTAGAGCCTCTAGTTTGTTTTAGCCAGTTTAAAAAAGTTATTGTTCATAGTCATACCAAACACATAATTGGTTTAATAGTTGTCTAATTAGCATAACCCCCTATCTCCTTTGATTAATATTTCAAGTATTCTTCGACCACTTATTTCCTTCTTAAATTTTTTGACTGTAAACATCCTCTTATCTTTTGATTCAGTACAGCCAATATATTTAAGCATGTTTATAAATGTTTGAGCTGAAGATGCCTAGGCATGCACCCTCCTATAATGATACAGAAGACCAAGCAACAGACACAAATTTAATGTTAAATCTCGTGTACAGTCACTATGAAACATTTAATGTATAGATATTTCCAGTGAACAATAATTTACTTTGTCTCATATTACAAATAAGACATTGGTTCTTTGGTGCAAAAGATTTGTTGTTTGTTTATAATGCTTAAAAAGATTTATCTTTTTGAGTTCAGTTCTTAGATACAGGAAACCAATATGATAAGGAGAAAATTATCTTTAATTTTACTTTTAAGTACAAATGCGAATGATTCTTTTAAGCTTTAACTTTATATTACGGTAAGGATTCTGGCTCCATGGTAACTTTGCTTTTTTGATCATTTGTTAATTTGTGCAAACAGTTCTGTTTTGACTGATGATACACTATTGTCCACAGACTTAAAAAACAGAATATGTTCTTTAGAACTGGTTCATTGTGTGCATGATTGTAAATTTCTGCTTTTGAATTAGCATCCATGCATAATATATCTTTGCAGAATATGAGGATCTACCTCTATTACAGTTTATTGAACAAATTTTCACACTTATTAGTCCGATGAAGTCGAAGGGGACTTTAGGTTTGCACACACTTTTTTTCTTCATGCTTGAAGATATTGATTTGATATTTGGTGTATCTGTATCATGACAAGTTACAGATAAAGTTCAAATTTTGTTCCGGTCTGATGATTTTGTGCAGAGTTATGGTCCTTTGACTTAGAAAATTCACTCAAATAATCAGTTTTCCACACTTTTTTTCGTCATGCTTGAAGATATTGACTAGATATTTGTTATATAGTTTACACCATGACAAGTTATAGATCAAGTTAGAATTTTGTTCCAATACAATGAATTTTTAAATGGTAGGGGACTATGTATTGCCAATTGCAATACTCACAGAATGCTTGTTATATGTAATTTGCTTATGAAAAAAAGATTTATTATATCATTTAAGTTTGGTATGCGATTGTATTACAAGTTTAAATTCATTGGAGAATAAATTATCACAATTAAGAGCTGTAAACTTAAGCTATATTTGACTGTTTTTCTCTCTAACTAATATCAGTTTTAGAAAATTTCAATTGTTTGTAAATTTTAACAAAGTTATAAAAAAAGGTTTTTTGATTTTAAGTCTTAATTTGTTTGATAATTAGCATGATTTGTGTCTATCAGAAATTTTACATAGACAATAGGTGACTTGTAAAAAAACTAGATAGCTGTCTTCAATATAACCAGACGTTCTGAACCATCCCAAAATAACACATGAAGTTATGGTCTCAGCTGGAGAAATAGTTCTACATTATTAAATATTGAGAACAAATTTCATGTGAACAATATTGGCTCCTGGTAATGCCTACAGATATTGCATAACAAACCAGAATTTTAGTTTTTCTGATTAATATTTGATTATTATGTGTTAAGGAAAAATTAACTAGATTTATAGACTATATCAATGTATAAGCATTTAGTGGTCAGTTCTCCAGGTACAAAGAGTTGACCACTTTTTATCTAGGTACAACCCTGGACATAATTCATTAGTATTTATAATTTTATTGAATACATTTTTAATTTTACAGATTACAGTGGAGCACCTAGTCTACAGAATATCTTCTACTTGATGTGTTCAGCTCTCCTGGCAGCCATATTATTGTAGGACATATATCTATTAGGAAATGTTTACTTGTTTATGAGTTATCTGCAGGAACACATGAATCAGAGATTAGGGTGGAATAAAAGTTTTAAGTCTTGACAGTAAAGGGGCAATTATTAGGGAACTGAGAGCTAATGTATTTTCTATTGCTTAATTATATAATCTCTGAAAAAAAAACACAGCTATTCTAAAATAAAAGTTCATAAACAAGTAAACCCATAAATGAATTAAAGAAGAAAGAGATCTGATGTGACTATTCAGCCAAGTTTGCCTGTTGATTTCATGGTTGTGAAAGAGGAGTGCTAGAAGAACAAATTAGGGCAATGTTGATAAAGAAAGATGGACTAAAACAGTAATGTTCTGTTGGTCAATATGAACACTAGGGTAGTCTGACACATAATTTGGTAGACAACAAGTCTGTATAGATTAAATTGACTCCTGGCAGGTATAGCCAACTGTTGTATTGACTTTTTATCCTAAGTCTTTGAAAACTTAGTCTTATACATTGAGTGCTACAATTGATTGACTAAATATTTCTTTGTTATAATATATATGTGTACATTTTGTCAGTTTGCATATACATTGTATTTGCATTGAAATATTTGGATTTATTCTTTTGGTTATGAATAAAAGCTTTGAATTTGTGTATAAGAATGTATTATATAACAACAGGTATCCAAAGAAAATACATTACTATAATGAGAATTCCCACATTAATGAATTGTGCCAATATGAGATCATTTTCCATCATAATCCGTGCAATTAAACATTTTATGATTCATTTAGGATGTTATAATTTTAAACATAGAGATTACCATTTACGTTGAGAATTAGATTAAACAACCGGTTTCTATAATTTTAGCTTGTTTTTATTGGTGTATAATGTTTCAATATATATATATATATATATATAATGTCTGTATGCAATATTTTTATCTAGTTAATACTTTCACTGTTACAGTAAATTAGATTTGGCAGCAAAAAATAGAAGTTAAATAATCTGATTTCAAAATACATGTAGTACCAATATCGTTAATCTTTTTTACTAATTTGAAAATTAACTAGACCATTTGAGATTTAAAGCATACAATTTTTAAATGTAAAAAAAAAATCTTTGTTAGGCAAATAACAAACTGTCAATGTTAATAATGATAAGAACACAATTTAAGCAGTTCCCTCTATTCTAAGTAATTTCGTGCAAGTAAATTTTCTGACCTCTCATTTTAACAACTTGTTTTATATAGCCTCATTAGTCATACATTCCTATCATTTTCATTATAAATTTTATTCATTTTGTTTTATATTAGGGAGGCTTTTTTATACTGCAAGTTATGATATATTGCTTTATTTCACATCATACATGCATCCTGCTGGTGTAGTTGAAGATTGATTGGTGTATTAAGAAAATAAGTTAGCTATCTTTTGGCTATAATTGGTTTAAAAGCTATTGGCAGATATCTTTAATAGTGCAGTTTTAAATGCATTTTATAGAAAATGTAAAAGAAGGTTATTGATAATGATGCAGTAAATTTAAATTGCCACCAGTTTTTACAGTGAGCAGTTGATCAAAGATACTGTTGGTAAGCTGAAAGTAGTCCATAATATTATAAATGTTGATGCATATCAGTTTTAAATGGTTGGCTTTATTCTATATATTTGTGTGAACTATGAACATCATTGTTTCAAATGTGAATGTTAGAAGATGTACATTTTGTCAGGACAAATGCATATATTTATGTATAACAAGGAATTATTTGAATCCGGAATATTTTTGAATTCTGGAATATTGATTATAAATGCATGATGAAAACTAACCCAACTAAATAGGGTTAGCCATGCATGAATGGTTAAGGTTAATTTTACTTTCACTGTTATTTCAGTATGAACTAACTAACCCCCCTAAGCCATCAATTTTCCAGAAATCAAAATTATTCCAGATTTAAATAATTCCTTGTTGTATGATTAATGTGATGATAATGTTGAATTATAAAAAAAAGTATTATGTAATCAGTGTGTGCCTTTTTAAATAATGGTGTTTAAATTTACCTTAGCCTTTGCTGTTTTGGAGAAAATTAAAATTTATAGGTTTGGCTTTGCAGAATCTACCTGAATAATTTGTTTTCTTCAAATCTGATAATCAAGATTATGGCAGACTGTTGCATGTATAGTTCATTCATATTTCAAACTTTTCAATGAACATTGCTTACCTGTTAATACATACCATATAACCATGTTCAAAAGATCTGGAAAATAGTATATAACTGTTTTACTTTAAATATTTTCAATGAATACTGAAGACTGACTTTCAAGTTTCATACTGATTATTACACTGAATATGAAAACATTAATTTACACAGTGATGCAAGGGAATTTTATTAATCACAGAAATTTACATGCTGTGGAAGTGTTGTGATCTCACTAAATGATCACAGTTTGTTGTGAATAATTAGGAAAGATTAAAGAATTCAGGTAGATTTTGTTGGACATAAAATTTGAGGCTGGTGGTCTGCTTAAGTAAATCAAATTAGATATAGATTTTTCATTTCAATTAGGCAACTATTTGTAAAAAGAAATCCCATGTAAATAATCTCTGTGTACGTGTATGTTTTATTGTCTGTTATTTGTGGTCAAAATTCAGATAAAAATTGTTCAAAGGGAGATAATACAACAAAAAATATATAGCCTGTAAAAATTGTAATTATTTGCTGAAGATTTATCAAATCTGAGATGTTTTATTTCGCTGATGTTGATAATCAACATTAAACTGAAAATAAATGTAAAAAAAACTTATACTATTATTATAATCTTTTTTTTTTAATCAGAATACTTACAAATTCCTTTGTATCTACAATTAAATGTCTATTTATACAAATCTTTTTTGTTATTTGTACAGTAATGTAATTTGTGTATTCACATAGTAATTTACTATATAGTGTATTAAACTGTTGTGTAGTATATGATTCGTGCCATTTATCCTTTCATGTTCAGTGTACCTTTGGATGTGGTATATGAATTGCCTTAATTTACAGAAAACAAATCCTATGTGATTATATCAATTTGACTATTGTTTGGATTACTTTGATTAAATTATTGGTCTGATAAACATGAATCAATTTTAATTCTGTCCCCTTTAAATGACTATATTCGACTGTTAAAAGGTTGTCAACATTTGTGCATAAATGCTATTTGTCTTTATAAGACATTTGTTGAATAAAACTGATTAATGTTAATTACATAAAGACCAAACACTCAAAAACACAATTAGGTTTTTCATATGAACAATTTTATTTGCCTTAAATGGCATACAATGGGGAAAAAATGAGGTTTACAGATACAAAATAAAAACCATTAAGATTTGTTGTGTAAGTTGATTCCTTATTGTCTTTGATTTTAACCTGATATTCTGTAATTTTACTTCACTGGTTTAGTTACATTTTCGATAGTGATATTATTTTAATATTTCTTTACTAAAACAAACAAACTATACCATTGACAAGGCTTTCAAAAGAAGGTGGCAGCTTCTTTCCACCTGCTACTTTTGGTAAGAGCCACCTTCTCATGCCCTTTTTTACTTTGGCAAAACAGGAGAATAGCTGCCTACCTTTAATATTGAAGTCCCTTACTTCTTACTGTTTTTAAAAGCCCTGCATTATTAAATCAGATATTTTGCAAAATAAAAGCTGATCTTTATTAAATTGAGAAAAACATTTTTAATTAACATTAATCAGTGAAAAAAAATGTTTGTAAATTTGGAATACCTGTTACTTCATTCGCTATTAGATGGAAATGTTTACCCTGGAGTGATTATTTGTTTTTTTAAATTTTAAATTTTATAAGCAGCATTACTTTCATCAATTGTGCTTCAAAGGTTTAAATAGCTATTAATAGAGCTTCAAAAGTTGAAATAGTTATTAATAGATATCTTTTTTATAGATTTTTCCTTTTTCTTTTTATCTGGTGTTGGTATGGTATTGATCTGTCATAGAAAAGGTATTTTAATGATGAACGACAGAATTAAGATGGGAAAAAATCTACAATTTGGCAATTAATGTATTTTTAACCAGCATAATATGTTTGATTTAAGAATCTTAATTTTAAAATGTATTTTAGATCTTATATAAATCTTGATTATGCTTTGCATTTATTCCTTTTTATAAAATTTAGCAGTTCTTGAGGAAAACTAGATAATTGTTGATACTTTGTAATTATATTGTTTAGTTTGTTTGTACAAGTATAGCTTGATACAGTAAAGGGGGAGCCTAATATTTTGCAAGTATTTAAACAATTTATTATGTAACTGTATTGGCTTTTTTTCAAATTGCAAACCATTGGTATTTATATAAGCATTAAGCTTTGCTTTGATCATGCATATGAAAACTAAACATTTCTCTATAAAAAGTTTGTATTTTGGCCAATTTACAGTCATATATTTAATTTGATGTATTTGAATTGTTACTGATTGCAAATTTTGATTGAAAAAGGAATGAAACACTTTATAAATTAAGGTTGATTTAAATTTTGACTACAATACTTGAGTGAGTTACAGGTATAACATTGTACTCCCTGAATACAGCTATATATTTTGAGTTTATCTGTCATGTAGTGAACATGTAAGGAAGGTTGTTTTTTATTGAGTTTTATTCATTCATCCATTACAGTTCATTCATTAAAAGCTTTCTTTGTACAAGTGTTTTCTTTCATTAGCATATTTCATTCATTAGCATTTGAATTTACATAGAGATATTATATTCCAACATTAAATGTGGGCTATCATCTGGTCTGTCTGTTCGTTCATCTGTGTAATGTGTGATCACTTTTCAGATCTGTCAGACACTGACTTCCTGTTACTCATACATTAATCATTTGAATATGTTGAACAAACTTTTGTTTTAAATCTGTCTGTCGCATGTTTCTCAAATTCTACTAAACAGAATGACCATATTTGATTATTAACTTGACAATGATGAGTTGTAACATGTGATAGCTTCTTAGATCTGCAGAACATCTGCTTCCTGTTTGTAGATAATTCGAAAATTTCAACATGTTTAATAAATACAAATATTTGAGTACCAGTAGCTTATTTCTTAAAAACTACTGAACAGAATGACTTCATTTTTGGCAGCTTGTCATTGATGAGATGTAATATGCAAGAGCTTTTTGAATCTATCTGACACCTACTTAATTTTTTGTCTCGCCTTGACGGAGTCAAAAAGCGAGACATAGGTATGCTGTTTCCGGCGACCGTGGTGGCGTCAATAATGTATTAGTTTGTTATTATGTCTACTTTATGATGAATCACTAGTGGTAGGTCAATGATATTTGGTATGCAGCTGTATTAGCATTGGCACATCTCATTTATTATTAGAGAGATTATTTGGCCCAGCCCCCTCAGTCATGGTCTATTGACTTTGAAACTTTGCTTAGTTTACATGTATTAGTTTGTGATTATGTCTAGTTTATGGTGAACCACTAATGGTTGGTCAATGATATTTGATATGCAGTTGTATAAGCATTGGCACATCTCATTTCCATGGAGATTATTTGCCCCCCCCCCCTCAGTCATGGTCTATTGACTTTGAAACTTTTCATTAGTTTTCATGTATTTGTGATTAGGTCACTTTATGGGGAACAACTAGTGATAGGTCAATGATATTTGGTGTGCAGTTGTATAATTATTGGCGTATCTCATTTCCATGGAGATTATTTGGCTCCTCCCCCTATTCATTGACTATTGACTTTGAAACTTTTGTTTAGTTTACATGTATTAGTTTTCGATAAGGTATGTTTAAGGGGAAATGTTAGTAGTAGGTCAATGATAATTGGTATGCAGTTGTTTAAGCATTAGCACATCTCATTTCCATGGAGAATATTGGGTCCTTACCCCTCAGTCATGGTCTATTGACTTTGAACCTTTTGCTTAGTTTACATGTACTAGTTTGTTATTAGATCAGTTTAAGATAAACCACTAATGTTAAGTCAATGATGTTTGGTATGCAAATGTATTGGTTTTTGCAAGTTTCGTTTCCATGGAGGTTTATATAGCTCCTCCCCTCATTATGGTTCATTGACTTTGAAACTTTTACATAGTTTACAAGTGAATGTTTGTGTTTAGGTTTGTTTAAAAGGAACGATTCATGAAAAGTCAATGATATTTGGTATGCAGTTGTAATAGCATTGGCACATCTCATTCCCATGGTGATTGTTTAGCCCTGTACCTTCAGTCATGGTTCATTGACTTTGAATATTTGCATAACTTGCATGTTAATTTAATTTCAAAATTAGCATTATCCAAATAACAAATGGGCGAGACATATCTCTGTGTTAACATTTTATTATGTTACTTAGAATTAAAAGTGGGGTATGCTTAACATGACAACACATTCATTCTGGTATTCAAATTATTCCTCACATGATTAAAACAGAGACAGAGGCTAATATAACAAAGTTTCTGTGCATATATTGGGGAAATACATAATCAGATGAGATGTATGTATTCTTATTAAATGTCAGTCTGTTGGGATAAAAGGCAGTAATTTCATTTACAACTCGCTTAAAGTGAATTTAGGAAAAAGTGAGATAAAAATTAAAGAGGCAACAACACCCCCCCCCTCCCCCCCTTAAAAAAAAACAAAACAAATAAAGACCTTTAGAAAAGAGGTCAAGATATGGTCTTCAATAAACTCATAGATATCAGGATTAAAATTATGTTCCTAGACGCGCGTTTTGCCTACAAAAGACTCGTCAGTGATGTTCGAAAGTTAAAAAGGCCAAATAAAGTATAAGTTGAAGAGCATTGAGCACCCAAAATTCCGAATATAGGAAGTGTTTTCCCACCATATAAGAAGCTCTTTATCATCCTACCGCCAGTTTTGTATTTACTATCTTAGTTGATAAACTTTTAATTTGCTACATCTATGAATAACTTAAAATTAAATGTTACTTCCTGCTATTCTATCGCCTCCATGAAGTCGAGGAGGCGACATTCTTGTGTGCTGTTTTTGTTAGTGGTTTTAATAGCTTGTTATAGTTGTGATTGGGCAAGGGTAAAGGGAATCCCAAATGGTAAGTCAATGATATTTGGAATGCAGTAGCATTAACATATCTCATCTCCAAACCCGAATAAATCCGTCCCTCCATATGAACTACTCTCCCACTTGCTTAATGTTTTCGAAATGGGTACTTCCTGAGCTAATTCCGAAAGATTAATTTACGATTTTTGTAAAGGTTGTATTAAACGCTCGGTAAAAGTCAGATTTGACTTAAATTTTCATATTTGATTCATAACATACTCAAACATAAATCCAGATTACAGACACATTTAACAATGAAAGGAGTTGTTATGATGTAACATCATTTCGTGCATATTTTAGTCTAGACGCCATCTAATTAACCACCGAGGTTACCTCCGAAGACTGCCAATAATCATTCGATCCGATATAAACATAAATATAAATAGACGGAGACTTGTACGTAGTAGTAATTGCGATTTTTTCAGGTCTTTTTGATTTTATGTCATACTAGTAAATCAAAACGAAAATGCAAATCATTGTTTTAAATGTACAATGTACATGAAGGATTTCTTGTGGGCCGAATCGGTCAACGATTTTTTTGTCCCCTCAGTCATGGTCTATTTACTTTGAGCTTTTGTTTAGTTTACATGTGTTAATTTGTGATTAGGTCAGTTCAAGGAGAACCATTAGTGGTAGGCCATTGTTAATTGGTATGCAGTTGTATAAGCATTAGCACATCTCATTTCCGTGGAGAATATTTGGCCCCGCCCCTCATTATGGTTCATTGACTTTGAAACTTTTGCATAGTTTACAAGTTAATGTTTGTGTTTTGGTTTGTTTAAAGGGAACGACTTATGATAAGTAAAGGGTATTTGGTATGCAGTTGTATTAGCATTGGCACATCTCATTTCCATGGAGATTGTTTAGCCATGTACCTTCAGTCATGGTTCATTGACTTTGAATATTTGCATAACTTACATGTTAAAGTATTGCTATTTTAATTTCAACATTTGCATTATCAAAATTACAAAAAGGCGAGACATATCTCTGTGTTAACAGTTTATTCAATGTTGACAAATAAGTTATTCTTTTCTTTTGAATAACTGAACACAATAAAGGCATGCGTAACCCATCTCAGTAAACGATTACATCCTGATCCTGATTCTGAGGTCAACATATTAACACAACTTGGTACTATTAGTTTCATCTCAATCGGTAGCTCTATTTCTATAAGTTATAACTCGCGGTACTTTGAAATAGTTTTTAGGTGCAGGATAGGGATTCAGGACTTGCTAGATCTCGGAAATCGTACTGTACTTTCTAAATATTCTCATATAATATGTGCTGTTCTTTTGTTGTTAGTGCCAGTAGTGTTCTTATATCTGTTGGGATGTTCCATGTGTCCAACTGTCTCGTCATTTTCTTTCTTTCTTGTTGGTATCTTGTGCAGTTGAAGTGTTCTGCATTTTCATCGTCACCACTTTCGCAATATGGCGTGAGGGATTGACCAATTTGATGGCGGTACTTTTTTTAGCCTGCTATAGCCCGTTCTTTTAAATCCTGAAAGAATTCTTCCTATTTCCGGATTTGGGTAATCTAGTTGGACAACCTTACCAAAAATAGTTACCAGCTCATTTGTGTACCAGTTTCACTTATGGTCCATCTACTTTGCCATCACTGGTCCACTATCTCGTTCCCTGTACTAAATTAGCATGGCGTTGGATCCAAGATATGGATGTGGATATGTCGTGTTTCAGGAGTGTCCCAATGCCTTCCTCAATGTCTGTAATGGTGTCAATGTTATTAGTAGATTTCAAATTGAGAGTCAGGACGCCAACAGCTGTTTGACTATCTGGAAGTATTTTCACTTCAGTGAACTGGTCTCTGATTATGCCAATGCAGTGCTCCATGATCAATAGGATCTATGCTGTGAGCTTCATAACCTAGTCCAGTAACTTGGGACATTCATCATCATAAGGTCTGCACCGGCGTTGTATGTAAACTCTGGCTCCACAAATTTAATGTCCACCTTTGTTCCTTCAAACAAGTCGATGACTTGATTTATGGCCTTCCCAAATGGAGACGCTTGCTGTGCACACGTCTCATTGTTGATAAATATTTCTTCAAGCTAATGTTTGATTGGCTTGACTATGTTTTCGGACTGAATTTTTGCTATTTCCCGAACTGAAATTTATTTCATCCATAGGTCAAGAGGCTGTATATTTGCATATACATCAATTGCTTCTCTACCTGATGTTCTTGATAGTCCTATGCCAACTGATAGCCTTTTCTTTGGATGGTTCCTTAATACCTTGTCCCTTTGTGCCATAATATGTCAACGTCTGCAAACTTGCAGTTTAGTCATGTGGTGTTATTAATTATGTCTGCTATGAATATGTTTAATAGTGTAGGTAATAATACTGATCCTTGAGGTAAGTCAATTTTTATCTCAAATTGTTTCTCATTACAATTGCTTAAAATACATCTGGCTATTCTGTCTGTGAAGAAGCTGTTGATATCCATGTCCAGATTTATCACTGAATACCGAGCTTATGGAGCTCCACCATCAACCCTCACGCCATATTGAATCATAGGCCTTCTCTAAGTCGACCAACCAAGCTAATATTTTAACCATCAACTATCGTTTGGACCAGCCGGAGTAGCGCATTTGTAGTTG